TCTACTACAGCCTTCACTCGACCTTCTTCATCATTGTCTGCCTTGCATTATACCTGCAATTTGGATTATGGAAATCAACTCAACGTTTTTCACGAGAACTTTCATCAGAAAATTGCAGTGAGTTTTGTGACGTTTCAAAAACTTATTTTTTGAACATTTTGTCTTCATCTTTTAGACCGCAAAAAAATTGTTCTTGAAATTGTTCAGCTGTGCCAGCTAAATCGAGCCTTTCAGCTGCTCTTCTCTCCACTGCTGCTGCTGTACGTTGCCTCCGAGCTGGCTGACATGATTGCCAGTCTCTGTCTGTTCGTCTACCTGCCCTTTGCCTCCATACTAGCCAATCTGGTCATGATTTTTGTCATTTTTGCATGTTTAGCCATTTTTAATTTTAAAACACAGAGCCATTTCTACGTAGTTTGCAGTCATTTAAAAGAGAACGCCCTTGTCTTATCAAAGCTAGGCCAAAGTGATGCTTTTAGAGCTAGAGTAGCAGATCACAATCGAATTTTAGTTCACGAGTTAGGTCCCGTTTTCGGGGGCGACCTGTCAACAAACATCTTTCAGCTGTGCCATATTGACGCCGACTTTGTCATTGATCTCCTTCTTCTCGTCACCAACTGCAGCTTTCTGATCATACAAACTAGTCATTCAAACTGATAGCATCATTGTGGATGACTTTGTAGCATTTATCCAAAGACAGATTTGGTAAAAGAATTATAAAAGAAGTGTATATAAATAATTTATAAAGAATCGGCAAATTCTAATTAATTTGATTAGTGTACACAGTGTTTAGTTTTAAGAAATNAGAGGCGATCTTCTTGATCTCATTCAGCAGCCGGTCACCGAAGCCTTTGAAGAGGGTGCTGCCACCGCTGAGCACAATATTCTGGTAGAAGACCTTCCGCAGGTCCATGTCCGCCTTCTCAATGCTGGAGACGAGAATCTCGTGAACGCCCTCAAACTCGTGGCCGATAATGTCGGGTCGGAAGAGAATTTCCGGCGCTCTTAATCTCGGGTTGACGCCAATTTCCACGGTGCGGCCATCGGGCAGAACGTAGGAGGTGTTCTCCAGCTCACTCGTCCCGCCCNCGCTGAGCACAATATTCTGGTAGAAGACCTTCCGCAGGTCCATGTCCGCCTTCTCAATGCTGGAGACGAGAATCTCGTGAACGCCCTCAAACTCGTGGCCGATAATGTCGGGTCGGAAGAGAATTTCCGGCGCTCTTAATCTCGGGTTGACGCCAATTTCCACGGTGCGGCCATCGGGCAGAACGTAGGAGGTGTTCTCCAGCTCACTCGTCCCGCCCGACACACGGTCGTCGTACGTTCGCTGGGGGTTGCTGGTGAGAAAGCAAATCTTCTCCTTGATGGTCTTCACTACCTCAAACTCGGCGGTGGTGTTGAAAATTAGATTTTCCTTGCGAAGCAGGAGCTTCAAGTAGGAGGTGACATCGCGACCGGCAACATCGGATCTGGTGATGGCAAGCGGCAGTGCAAAGCCCTCGTAGATGGGCACCGCCTGGGTGACACCATCGCCAGAGTCCAAGACGATGCCGGTAGTTCGACCGGTGGCATAGAGACTTAAAACGGCTTGGATGGAGATAAACAAGGCGGGAACGTTGAAGGTTTCGAAGAATATCTCTGCCGTCCTTTCGCGATTTTGCCGAGGGTTTATCGGTGCCTCTGTAGTAGTGCACGAAACAGTTAGTAAGAACAAGAACAAGTGTAACAAAAGATAATTCACACTTGCCAGTCAACAAGACGGGATGTTCTTCGGAGAAAGTTTGAAGCTGCTCTTTTGAGTAAATGTAGTGCCAGATTTTTTCCATCTCATTCCAGTCGGTGACAATGCCATGTTCCATAGGATACTTTATCGACAATAGTCCGCGGTGTTCTTCAGCTCGACGACCTGAAGCGAATGAAAATATTGAATAGGCTAGAGGCGTTTGAATATTGTGCAAAAGAGCCTCTTACCAATGAAGTTATCACCCTCCAAAGCACCGGCCATCACCCGAA